ATTAATTGTCATTATCGTTATCATCATCATTATCGTGATCATTAATGACTCCCATCGCTTTGAAGTATAGGTCGAATTTGCCGACATAGAAGGAATTAGCTACGCATGCATTAGTCCACAAGCTATTAAAATAATTTTTGAGAATGTATATTCCGCTATTAACATCCAGTTATTAATAAAAGCAGTTTTCAAGTTAATGCAAGGAACTCCTTGTTTTTCAAGTTTTATTCTGGATGTGACTTTTCTGAGCTACGCATTCCTAGGAAGAGACAAGTAAGCATTCCCAGTGTCTCCATGTACTAGAGCACATTAAAATCTGAAAGATGTACTATAGAATATGTAGCTAGATTCGGCACTATGACTTCGTACATTTTCGTCAATTAAATGATAGTGTCAGCATCTTCGTTGCTTGGAAAGATTTTTTCAAATCACTATTTTGTATATATCTTCAAGTTCTACTCTTTTTGTTGTAGCTCAGGTCATAAATAATTTTATTATAAGTAAGTTCATATCTTAATGATTATGACATGATACTGAAAGTAGACAACCACGACGAAACGTCTCATTGTTCATTTTTCAGCAACACCAACAAATACTGGTATATCTCGGCCATCTGGACCAAGCAGTATCGAAAGTGCTCCTCCTCCAACACCGACGATTGCAGCACCAGCTCCTCCTGCTCCACCAAAGCGTCGCCAAATTTATCGTTTTGCTTCAAGTCGACCACTTTTTGCGGCCGGTTGGTCTAGCAAAACGGATTCAGAAGGTCGATGGCGCATTGCTGTTGGTAGTGTTGTGGAGGATAAACCTCATAATAATAGGGTTCGTCTGATTATTTATAACATGGGATTTTTGCAACTACAATAATAGTGAAGTAAAAACTGTGCACCATACTGAAAGCATAGGAGGTTAGACAAACTATTCTCAAACATTATAATTGAGTATTGTCACAGCAAAGACATGGGAGGAATTACAAACTTCAAATATTATTATGAACGAAGATAAGTCGAAGAACGGTGACATTATTTATCTTGTGTTACGAATCCGAAGAGTGAAACTTGAATACTTGATAAATTGTGCAGAAGATGATGTCTAATGTTTATTATAATTAATATGAACCAAAAAAGGTGGTAGAAATAAAAAAAAGGAAAATGATAGAAACTGTGAACAAATAACAATGCAATGAAATATATATGGGAATAGCAGCAAAAATAAGGGACTTAATATTTAATATTGTGGATACTCCAGTGAGAAATCTATAAAAAGTGATTTCCTAACAACGATTATTTTTCCTAACTTCAACTGTTTAACTGTTTTTATATTTTCCGAATTACACATGTTTAATTGTTTATTCGAATACATTTCTTGTTAGCAAAACGTAGACTTATGCTTACTTACGAAAGAAAGCCCAAGAATCAAGCTGTGAAATTATTCCTCTTTTCATAGTCGACTTATTTTTTTATAGTTATATCCAGCTTTTTTTTAATTTTTCAGTGTTTTTATTTCTAATATATCTGCAGGTATCAGTCATACAATTGGACGAGCAGCAAGGTGAGCTTGTGGAGAGGCTTTCATTTGAGCATACATTTCCTCCGAATTGTATTCAATGGATTCCAGATGTGGTTCGTATTAGTTTGAACTTAATGTTTTTGCAGATTTTATAATTTGCGTATATAATTCCATAAAATTATCTGCTTATTGAAGTAGAACTTACCAGTTCTCATTATCGCTACTTTACGTATTGTACTTTTGTAGATGGATTCCTATCCTGATCTATTGGCAACCAGTGGAGAATGTTTGAAAATTTATCGAGTAGAACCAAATTCTGTAATGATGGAATGCATTTTAAATAATGTATGTTGTTACACTGTAGTACTTCTGTCCAGCTGATCTTGTTGATAACTTGCCGATGCTTACATCCATGAAATCACTTAACAGTAGCAAAGTCTGGAGTAGTCATCAGTATTTGTGCCTTTTTCCAGTAAACATTTTGCTACATGGAATCATGCTGATAGTCACTTGTAACTGAATGCAGAAACTTTGAAATTATATTCGTTGAAATTACAGAAACAAGCATCAAATTATTCTGGACCATTAACGAATTTCGACTGGAATGATGTTGACCCAACACTGATTGGTACTTCTTCAATTGATATGAGTTGTACCATATGGCAGCTTGAGGTGAGCACATTAAAGAAAAAATCTAGGATCATTTCAGCATAATTTCTTTTTGAAAATTTGTTTAACTTAACCATGCAGATTTAGTTTGATGTTTAATTTGAATATGATTTTGCACTTTAATTCAGTTCGATTATGTAGAACTAATGCCTGTACAGAAAAGCCCCCTTGAGGTTATACACATGGCAGTCTTAGTGAAAGTTAGGTCACTATAACTATTTTGGGAGGCTGTGACAATATTTATTTGACAGAAAAAGTTTGATTCGTAATATAAGTCTAATTTACAAAAGATTTTCTCTTCACAGAGATCTGTATTATTTATTTACCTTGAAGGTGTTGAAGGTGTCGTATTTTATGTAATATAGTGTTTTCAGACGGGGCAGGCACTTGCTCAGACCAAAAAAACTAATGGCAGTGTCAAAACGCAGTTGATAGCTCATGATAAGCCAGTGCATGATATCAAATTTTCGAGAATAAATCGTGGACGAGATAATTTCGCTACTGTTGGTAAAGTCATAGCTGTGCTTTTAAATGCTGTTCAGAAATTATTTCATTCTTGTTTGTCATTAAGAATTCATATATGGTGCAAGTTTCATTTCATATTTTGTTGCATTCTTGCTAATTGCTAGGCTTTGGAAATTCCCTGTATTTACGATAGTGGGCAAAGCACGCAGCGGGGAAATTATTTCGATAGAAAATTGAACTCATATTTATCAGGGAAATCAAATATTTGCAGAATCAAATATTTGTAAGGTAAAGTTTCCAAACTAAGCATTAATGATAGCAGGAAGGTATTGTATGAAAAACTTATAACAGGTGCGGATGGAAGTGCTCGATTATTTGATTTACGAAATTTGCAACACTCTACAATAGTTTATGAAGATCCCTTACGTTCACCACTGATGAGGCTAGCATGGAACAAGCAGGAGAGTCACTACTTGGCTACTTTTGCACAGGATTCTGCTGAGGTACAGTGATGTATAGTGTTTTAATTTATTTTATCATGTTCTTCCTTCTTGAGCCAAAATTTTCATAAGTGGTGAAAGTTAACTCTACTAAACTTCGGACATCTCATCGTTTTCTGAAAGATTGGAACAATATTATTGGGTTTATTGAAGCAAATTTTGTAAAAGCTTTTAATTGCTGGGAAAGGACTTGGAGTTGAATAAGTTTGGACGCACGAACTGCCAGCTTAATCATCAATTTTAAACATAGCATAATTAGCAGTTATAGGATATGTCCAAATATTACAAATATTTTAGGTTGCTGTAATATACTTTACCATATGATGTTATTGTAGGTAGTGATAGTGGATATAAGGGTGCCTTGTAATCCCCTTGCTCGACTTCATAATCATCGCGCTTGTGTAAACGGTGTTGCTTGGGCTCCACATTCTTCATGCCACATATGCACAGCTGGTAATTTCAATAGACTTTAAATATATTAATTTTTAAGACTGCATTCTAAATCATCATCGTGATCATAATGAAATATTGCTCGTAACTT